CACAGGCTCCGGACGCGCAGGCTCAGCGGCCACGGCTCACGGGCCCAGCCGCTCCGCGGCATGTGGGATCTTCCCAGACCGGGGCACGAACCCGTGTTCCCTGCATCGGCAGGCGGACTCTCAACCACTGCGCCACCAGGGAAGCCCCTCTAGTAAGTTTTGACATCAGGAAATGTGAGTCGTCCAGCTTTGTTCTTCTTTTTCAAGATAGTTTTGTCTATTTGGGATCCCTTGAGATTTCATATGAATTTTAGGATGGGTTTTTCTATTTTGGCAAAACATCATTGAGAGTTTTTATAGAGATTGCATTCAATCTATAGATTGCTTTGGGTAGCATTGACATCCTAATAATATTAAATTAAGTCTTCCAATCTATGAACATCGAATGTGTTTCCATTAATTCTTTCAGTAACATTTTGTAATTTTCTTTGTACCAGTCTTTTGGTTAATTCCTAAGTATTTTGTTCTTTTAGATGCTATTGTAAATGTCATTTTCATAATTTCCTTTTGAGATTGTTCATTGTTAATGTATAAAAATGCAACTAATTTTTGTGTGTTGACTTTATAACTTGGTACTTTGCTGAATTTATTAGCTCTAACAGTTGTGTGTGTGTGATCTTTAGGATTCTCTACATATAAGAATATATCATGTGCAGAGATAATATTACCCCTTCCTTTCCAAGTTGGATGTCTTTTGTTTCTTTTTCTGCCTAATTGCTCTATCTAAACATTCTAGCATTATGTTGAATAGAAGTTGTGAAAGTAGGCATCTGTGTCTTGTTCCTGATCTTAGAGGAAAGGCTTAAAGTCTTTCACCAATGTGTATGTTTGCTGTGGGTTATCATATATGGTTTTTATTATGCTGAAGTAGTTTCCTTCTATTCCTAGTTTGTTGAGTGTTTTTAAAAGGGTGTTGAATTCTGTTGAATGCTTTGTTTGCATCATTTGAGATGATCATGTGATGTATTACACTGATCAATTTTCACATATTGAACTCTCCTTGCATTGCAGAAGTAAATCCGACTTGGCCACGGTGTACAACCCTTTTGATATGCTGCTAAATTTAGTTTGCTAATATTTTATTGTGAGTTTTTGCATTAATGTTCATAAGGGATATGGATCTGTAGTTTTCTTGTAGTGTCATTGTCTGGCTTTCATTTTTCCTGGCTATTCTTGCAATATTATCTTCTCTTATGAATTTAGAATCAGTGTCTAGTTTCCAGAAGTATCTCTTGTTGTTGTTGCTTTGATTTTGTATTAGCTATAGGGTGATCTTTATTTGTCATTTCCCCTCAAATTAGGGAAGATTATGCTTAAGAGAAGTGAAATGGTTCTATTCATTCTGGTTTGTGATTATTAGGTTTGTATGTTAGTTTCTTTTTTTTTTACCATCTTTATTGGAGTATAATTGCTTTACAATGGTGTTAGTTTCTGCTTTATAACAAAGTGAATCAGCTATACATATACATATATCCCCATATCTCCTCCCTCTTGCGTCTCCCTCCCACCCTCCCTATCCCACCCCTCTAGGTGGTCACAAAGTACCCAGCTGATCTCCCCACGCTATGCGGCTGCTTCCCACTATCTATTTTACATTTAGTAGTGTATATATGTCCATGCCACTCTCTCACTTCCATTCTCTACGTCTGTGTCTTTATTCCTGTCCTGCCCCTAGGCTCTTCAGAACTTTTTTTTTTTTAGATTCCATATATATGTGTTAACCACACGGTATTTGTTTTTCTCTTTCTGACTTACTTCACTCTGAAAGACAGTCTCTAGGTCCATCCACCTCACTACAAATAACTCGATTTTGTTTCTTTTTGTGGCTGAGTAATATTCCATTGTATATATGTACCACATCTTCTTTATCCATTCATCTGTCAGTGGACATTTAGGTTGCTTCCATGTCCTGGCTATTGTAAACAGAGCTTCAGTAACCATTTTGGTACATGACTCTTTTTGAATTATGTTTTTCTCAGGGTATATGCCCAGTAGTGGGATTGCTGGGTTGTATGGTAGTTCTATTTTTAGTCTTTTAAGGAACCTCCATACTGTTGTCCATAGTGGCTGTATCAATTTACATTCCCACCAACAGTGCAAGCCAAAAGTACCTTAGTGATACTTTTATTGGGAAATTTATAGCTTAATTTAGGAATAATTTTGTCAATGAGTTGAAAACTCAACCTAAAAATCCTGGTTTTCGGGCTTCCCGGGTGGCGCAGTGGTTGAGAGTCCACCTGCCGATGCAGGGGACGCGGGTTCGTGCCCCGGGCCAAGAAGATCCCACATGCCGCAGAGCGGCTGGGCCCGTGAGCCATGGCCGCTGAGTCTGTGCATCCAGATCCTGTGCTCCGCAATGGGAGAGGCCACAACAGGGAGAGGCCACAACAGTGAGAGGCCCGTGTACCGAAAAAAAAAAAAAAATCCTGGTTTTCATATATACTACTAAAATAATAAAGGTCATTATAAAAATTAAATTAATACAGAAGTATGTAAAGGCTAAAAATTAAGAAGGCCTTCTTAAAATATTTCCTTATCATCACCCCCTCCTAACTTCCCCTCACTGAGGCAAATTTTACAAACAGTTTGATAGTATCTCTTCATACTTAGCCATACATTTACAAGCTTTTATGTTTACATCCACACGCAGGGTTTTTCTGGTTTTGTTTTGTATGTATATGGATCATTAGTAATAAAGGAGCCATAATACATACTCAATGTATATCAATGTATTGTAATCCTCTATAGATGCACATTCACATTGTTTCTTTTTTTCTTCCACTAATAAAGCTTGATCAAAGTCTCGTGCATACTTTTCCACATTTGTTTATTTAAGTAGAATTTCTAGAAAGGAATTGCCAGCGAGAAGGTAATGAATGCATAATTTAAAAATTTGAAGATACCAAGTTATCTTCAGAGAACAGCAGTGATGCTCCCAACAACGATATAGGATGGGACTTTTTTCACACACTCTCCTAAGTACTAAACGTACAAATCTTTTTAATTTTTGCCACTCTGTATATATGAGATAACATCTAGTTCACAGTATGTCTGTAAGGGTCACATCTGTTAAAGGACCTCTCACGTTGCCTGGCTTAGTGTCAGCATTCTTTTTTTTTTTTTTTAAGCAGCCCAATCTGACAGTAAAATATGTGCAAGGGCAATAAAATGTCAGGGAATCTTAATGAACACAATTTACCATCAGACTTCGTTGAGACCGTAAAAAAAAAAACCCAACCCCAATATTGCAAGGACAACATTTCCAACGTGTATGGTCTGAAGGGATGGATCAGCTCTAATGATAATTGGGTGTTGAGTTCTGAAGAAGTGGGGTGTTCCCTTTTAAAAACAGTCTTCCCCCCAACCCCCCCCCCAAAAAAAAACCCCACCGAACTGCGTTCCCCAGCCTGCCTTTGTCTCCGGAGCCATGCCGAGCTCCCGACAGCTCCCGCCGCGGAAGGCCCCTTACGGACTTCCTTGTCTCCTCTTCACCTGGGGAAGGTGGGCTTCTTTCTGCCGTCGGAGGCGCCGGGGCCGGTGTACCTAAGGGTTCGGGCTCTCCGTCCGAGCGTGCACCTGGGAGCCCGGGAGCCGCACGGACCTTGCTCTTTTCTGACATTGCCCCACCGAAGTCCGCGACTCTTCCACGTTTCCAATTCTGTTCATTGGAAGACTGGTTCTGCAGACTGCAGACTTATTTGACCTGCGGCACGGAATGCAGAGCGAAGTGCCAGACTTCTCAGTCCCCGGCCCTTGGAGACGCCGCCACCAGGACTGGACGTGGCGCGGTGTCGGACCCAACTGCCGTCACATGGATGGCATTTTCGGTTCAGCGTCTTAAGCCTGGATTTTGGTTTAATTCAACCTAAACAGCGTCTTGGAATTTTATTTTTTTCCAAAGCCTACGAGGTCGGTACTCAACCTCGGACCCGGCGAGTGTGTGGGTACCGCGAAGGGAATTCGCGTTGGAGAGGGAGCCCGGTGTCACCGAAGAGGGAGCCGGGCGCCGTGAGGGTGGGGAAATCCTTCAGGTCCAGCCAGCGGTGGGACACTACCTCGCGGGCTCGCCTCACACCTAGCTCAGAGCTCAGGCAATCGTAGTTGTGACTGGTGGAACGAGGCGGAAAACCCGCTGGCCTCCACCACAGCGGGTCTGGATTGGCTTCGGCACACAGTCGCTTTTCTGTAGTCCAATCCTAGAGTCGCTTAGTGATAAATCCCGCTTTAAAAGGCGTTTGATAACAGTTTTACGTGTTGTAAGGCATACGGTGATTGGCTGCAGGGCTCACGGATTCGCTCGGTAGTAAACACAGCGAGGCTCCTGGGACCGCGGATTGGTCAGTGTTCCCAGGACCGAATAAATTCCGCCGGATTCCGCGCGCTGGCTGGCGGCACATCTACCCTGGCCCCGCCTCTTCCGCTCCTGATTGGCTGTAGCGCGGCCGGAGGGGAGGAGAAAAGCCGCGGAGTAGGCGATCTCGTGTTGCGTCACTTCCGTTTACTGTGGGCAGCTGCCGTGGTATTCTCAGAGTGCGGCGGCGAACGGGCTGAAGCAGCCCGAGGACGAGAGGCGGGGTGGGCGGAAGGGGGAGGAAATCCCATCACTGGGGCGCCAGCCTGGACGTTCCCGCCTCCTCCGACACTGTCGGGTCCGATCGGAGAAGGGTCACCGCCTCCTCCAGCGAGAAGGGGGGCGGAGTCCGGCTCAGGTGAGGCAACCCTGTCAGCGCGGGCCGTAGTGGCGCGCGCGGGCGCGCTCACGTGGAGACAGTTGGGCTCTGGGGGAGCTGGATGGGCGGTGCGAGCAGGGTCTCGTCCTGGCGTCGGGGCGCGCGCAGACGCGTACCGGTTCCCCTCCATCCCCCCACCCCCGCCTACCTTGTCAGTCTTTCTGAGGTGGTATTGTTACCCTCGGAACGGAGGGGCCAGGCGGGTGGAAGGCGTGTTCTTCTGCGCAGGCGTCCCCCGTGTCCTGACGCCAGGCTGTCTGTCCAGCCGGTGGGGCGGGGCTCTTGCCCCCTCGGATCTGCGGGCCAGCGACGCTAGTTACTGGGATCGGGTGGGGAAGGCTTGGGACCAACAGCCTGGCGGGGTGAATAGAGGATCTGCGGGATGGGGTCGGGTGGCTCTCTCGCCCCCATTCTGGGTCTGTTTGAGCGACGAGGTTTCATTTACACCAGAGCAAGGCCGAGGCGGTCTGGAATCGGGAACCGGAGGCTGACTCTTGGAGGGGTGGAGCCAGTGTTTTGGAATGCCCCAACTTATCGGAGGACTACAGTGTTTATAGGCTATTATTGAATGGCCTCTGCTTCCAGGCTTTGTGCTAGGAGCTGTGGGGGATGCAGTGGTAAGAACAGCCTTCCGCCCTCCTCCCCTTGTTTGGAGGACATGCATATTTATACTTAAATACTAACCTTAGGCAGTGAGTTAAGGGGGGTCGAAGGTTAGTTTTTCTTCTCTTCCAAAAAAGGTCGTTTGTTATTAAGTCAGTGTGCATTCTGGCATCGTGGAGGGTACTGTGGAAGGTAATTTCTGAATAGGACACAAATCCTAAATATTTAGTTTGGAGGAAAAATTTTAGGTAAAGGCGCAGTGAAATCTTTTTTTTTTTTTTTTTTCTTGCGTTATGCGGGCCTCTCACTGTTGTGGCCTCTCCCATTTGTGGAGCACAGGCTCCGGACGCGCAGGCTCAGTGGCCATGGCTCACGGGCCCAGCCGCTCCGCGGCATGTGGGATCTTCCCGAAACGGGGCACGAACCCGCGTCTCCTGCATCGGCAGGCGGACTCTCAAGCACTGCGCCACCAGGGAAGCCCAGCAGTGAAATCTTGAGTACTAAATAGTATGGTTGGGTTCTGGTTAATTTTAATGAATGGAAGTAAGAAACCCTTCACCTTCAAGAACTGAAGCAGAAATATTTCCGAAATATGTTCATACACTTTTCAGTTGTAGTAGGTAGAAGATATTACATACATTAGGATCTTTCTTTAGAGGTTGAAGAGAATGCTGTGCCTTAGGCATCACTGATGATTTGTTATCCTTGTAGGGGCTGTTGTGCCTTAGATAATTTTAAAAAGGTGGGCTAGGTGCCTCACCGTTTTCTGGATAAAGTGCATTCAGTGTTGATTTTGGTGGTGAGGTTGATAAGCTAAAAGATTAGCGGCGGGGGGGGAAAAGACCAGATGGGGAGAGGAGAGAGAGAATTTTAGAGAAAAGCCCCTAAACCAAGGGAAGGCCTCCTACTATTACTTTAGTCCCCTCTGGAAATCCCAGGAAACTTGGGAAGACTGGCCTCACCACCACTGTCAGCTTGGTGACCTGCCAGGTAAGACTAACTCGTTGAGGACCTGTTCCGGGCTCCTGCATTTTGCTAAGTAAATGAACCAGGACTTTTTAAAGAGTCCTGAAGTCAGCATGTTTTCTTGATTTGCTTTTTCTCTCCTAAAAGTTGTGTCAAAATATGGTATAGTTAGCTGGGGATACTGACAAGCTGTATTCTGCCTATTTGAGGTGTCTAGCAAAATTCTGAAAGAGATAAGATTTGGAAGAAAAGCATCTTAGAGTGGGGTGTTTTCCTAAGCTTAGGGGTCAGTCCTCTCAAAAGAGACTTTGTCGTAAGGCTATCACAAGTAGTTGAAGTTATTAAAAAAAAATCAGTTGGATACAAAATGCATGTAAATGTTTAGTACTTAAAGTATTTAGCATGAATTATGTTGAATTGGAGTTCTTTAGCATGGGTAAGACTTAAAAATAGCTTGTGTACAGTGAGAAATGACAAAGTTTGCTGTAGTGCTGACACAGAATCTTGAATCTGCCTCAGTTTCTCCTTGGAAAGGGAAAAGAAAAACCCAAGGTATTGATTCCATGTTAGTCTTCAACTTTTATTTTTTTAATATAAATTTGTTGTAAACAAATACTTTTCCTGTTTGTCAGTTTTAAGCATATGAGTTCTCTTTGTACTTAACATTTCTCAAATATGGATGTTGTTGTCTAGTAGAGCCAAATTTTGTTAGTATAGCAGGTGGGATGGAATGTAACACCACACGGCACCTTTTGTCTAAGTCTGAGGTGAACTCATGCTAAAAGACCAGCTGTTTCTGAGTGAACTATTGTTCTTACAGTTGTTTTCATCATTGTCATTACTCAATAGTGGCTTTTAATCTCCAGATTCCAATTATGGGAGGTGCCTTTCATTTGATTAATTATACATCTATTTACTAAAAGCTTTGATTTATCTTTCTGACAGCTCAGATTAGGAATTGTTGGAGTACTGACATTTTATTGTAATATAGATAGATTACTGTCTTAGTATCTAAGATTATTTTATCTGTAGATAATTTTCCTTGTGATATTCTAACATACTTGAATGGTATGTTTAAGGTTCCAGTATTTCCTTGATTCTAAACCACATTTTTGTTCACATTTTAATCTTGAGGACAGGATGCCATAAGTAAGCATTATACCATAGCTTAACTGGCATTGTTTTTCCCCCCCAACGTTACATGAGATAATGTTGCACTTGATAATCACTGGCATCTTAGGTTTAATGAAACTTGGTGCAATTAAAAGACTTTTGTATCCAACTAATTCGTTGTTAATTGTAAGCAATTAATTTTCCAAATCTGCACTCTGAAGAAAGTTTGCTATTGAAAGGAATCCTATTGGAAGTAATATTTTTTCCTTATTCAGAGGGGAATTAACGAACTGTTTTGTTTCTTTGACAAATTTTAAAGGATGATTGAGTGCTGGGTCTGCTTTTTGGAAACTGTACTTGGTGTTTTGTTACTTTGTATACTTGATAACAGTTTACAAATGCTTTATTTCCAGCGTAAGTTTAAAATGATTAGGGTGAATTGTTCCCCCCTTTCTTCCGTACATGATATTGTTAACTTGGTGTAATTGATTTTTCAGTACATCTAAATTAGTTATAATTTAAAGTCTACTCAGCTGTCTTCCTCTATAAATATAAGACCTTCAATTTTAAAGGTCTTTGAATACAAGTCCTTCTGTTTTAGTCTACAGAGAGGATTTGAGGAAGGAGGACAGGGAGAAGAAAACCCACTGTTTTGGGGTTCAGTTTTGAGAGGAATGTACAGATGGTTCAAAAATCTAAACACATGTAGTAACATACACTGTATTTTATTTTGAGTAGAATGTCAAAAGCAACTTAGCAGGTGAATTATCAGTCACTTGCTGAACACTATTGATTTGATAAATGATTCAGAAGTGAAGGAATATACTACTTTGAAGGTAAACTAGGTATAAGAAATGAATTAAATCCATTTTTCATCTTCTCTCCTGGAAAGGCACCATCAATAATTTTGTCTCCAATGCTTCAGCATGGCTTTCTTCTTGAGAAGAAATACGTATCTTGATCTGTCAGGGGTGCAAGGCAATAAAAGCTATTTTTAAAAATTGCTGAAAAGGTTGTGTGTGATGGAGGCAACTGGGATGCGTGTCAGGCAGCATTTTCTAAATAATAGAGGGAAAATATATTTAGACTTTTAAAACAGATGTTAAAATATAGTCTCAAATATATAAAAGCTAAAAGAAGCCATTGATGGATGGTTTCTATAGATTTTGGGGTACCTTTATGAAGTTTGTATGCTCTTTAGAGCGTTAAGTGGCTACAGATGTTCTTTTATATGGACAATCAGCTGGCTGGCTAGTCATTTTAAGTTTTAGGAAAATGTAGTACCCGAGACAGGGAAATTTCTAGAACAGTTACAGTGCAAGTGTAAAGTTCTAAATAGGATAAAGCAGTGAAGTTTGTCATAATTTTTTTTTTTTTTTTTTTTT